TATTTAGAAGGTCACCCTGGAAAGAAATATGACAGCCTGTGGGGAGAGGTCTGCAATGCCATATGTGTCAGAGGCATAAAAATCACCTGAGAGGCAAGGGTGGCCACAGCGCTGCTTGCCTTGGTCTCAAGACTCACGGCCCAGTATGATCTCCTGAGCCCTCATGTTTCTGCTCCATTGCCATTGCCGCATCAGAGCACCAGGAGTAGGTCACTCCATGTGCCCTCAAATGCTCAAGCCAACAGTTCAAAAAAATATTTACGGGAACAGACTTCTCACAACTTCCCACTCATTTCATTTTTTATTTCCCATGAGATCTGCCTCTCTGTCCTCTGTGACTGGTTACTCTCTAACACCTGCACCTTCTTTCACATTGTGCTAGATCTCCCATGGCCTCTCCACTCCCTCCTCTTTCACATCCCTTTCCAGATCTACTCAGCTCTGTGAAGTCTGTGAGTACTATTGTTTTCTGTTATTCCTTTAAAATAGCAAAGGAGAAAAGAACCTTTTGTGTATTACTGTCTTCTAGGCCTACTACAGCTCCCTCACTTGCTGCCAAGTGAAAAGGGAAAAAAAAAGAAAGAAAGGGACAAGCTGCCAGTTTTTCCCTATATCGCACTGAGTGATGCAGAGGCAGAGGACTATACTTGGTCCGATGACAACTTCTAACTCCTGTACGGAGCAGGATATACTGTTAACATGTCATCTTTCAGCAGAGCAGAATATATCAAAGTAATGTGGAAAAAGTATTTCTAGTATGAATAACACAATTAATGAAATAATACTAGGGATGCTTTCATTCCACAATGAATAAAAAGCTTGTTTTAAATCAGTAATTTCTACTTCTGGAGTTAAAGCATGGTTACTTTATTTCTCTAAGTACTAACAAGGGATTCATAAGAGATTCTTATACCTCACATAACTACCTTTTCAAATCCCAGCCAGCAATATGGCCAAATCCCCATACAAATAGCTAGGTCCTCAGGATTGCAATGTACGTGGTATTCAAGCATAACAAATTTTCAGTGTGTCTATGTTCTCCCTCCTTTTCCCTTTCCCTTAACACTTACAGTGGTGTTTTTTTGCAATCTAATATACTTCAGCCTTTTCCTCCTATTATTCCTTTCTTCCTTATTCTCGGCAATATTTATTTTCTCTTTAATTTTCCTTCTCTGCTTCCTTTTAGCTCATTTTCCATTATTTCCTACTTTGGTCAATTTGACATCAATCAGCAGTGCTTTCCATCCTTCTTTCTCTGTGATATATAATTTTATCCACAACCAAAAAACAAAATTTTATGCATCTGTTCTCTCTCTTTCTCCTCAGTTCCTGGGGTGGCAGCTTTCATGTTAACAGCATACAGGCTATGGCACGTGCTTTTATTTTTATTTTTATTTTTATTTATTTTTATTTTGGTCTCTTCAGAGATTTTCAGTTTATTCTCTGGGCTTAAAATTTACTTGACGCAATCTTCTCCTCTTACAGGGATTCAAGGGGACTGAGGGTGCGTGTGTATGTCTATCTGCTGTCTCCTCTTCAGTGAGGGCCTTGCCAATTTTAGAGGCCAGGAGGCCAGAGCCAGGTCCACAGACGCATGAAAAAGTGATTATGGTGTGGGCAGACATAGCTTTAAGTTAGGTAGCACATGTAATGGTACAGGTGCTGGAGACAGCAAGAAAGACATCAGCGCAGGCTAGCGCCCAGAGTACATATTAACCCCCAGATCCCTGGGGTAGTCCAGTTTTCAGCCTATCCTGAAAAATGCTGCAGTCTGTCATAAATTGCTGTCAACACCAGAGCAACTTAGGTAAAACCTAGTACCTGTGCCACAATCGAGCCTTCAGTCTCCTCTGTAAACAATGTACCTTGGAAGATTTTGGTGACAGAACGGTCTTTGTGCATTAAACCTGGAATGTGCCCCAGTGCATGCCAGGGGCAGATTTAACAGGATTATGGTAGCTGGCTAACAGTATCTGTAACTACCAGTGCCAGACTTATAAATGGAACAGAAATTTAAACAGGTTCAAGACATTTTTTGCTTCAGTCAGCTGGAACCTGAACTGAGCTACATCCTGTCTGGCTTCATCTGCCTGTTTCTAGTATTAGCATTGACTAAAAATACCAGTCTAAGCCCTGCAAAAGTGATCTCAGCACAGTCTGACTGAGATGTTCTCCTTGCATAAGTGACACAGATTGCAGTCTTTTGTTCTGAATCTCCCCACTCAGTGGGGAGTGCAGACGCTGAGTAGAAAGCAAGGCAATTGCTCTGAATCTCGGGAGAGCCCACAGTACTTGTCACCTGAGAGTGCCCTCATAGGACAAGGCAGTCTTTCAGTTGATATAATTGATTAATCATCTGAGTTAGGAAAGGTGTGAGCAGGCTCCCTCCTTTGGTGAAATGCTTTGGAGAGTTAGTCAAGAAAAATGCTGTATTTGAAAAAGAGTTCCAGTGGGTTATTGGACAAACAGGGGTAGACAAAATTCTGTTTGGAGGGTGACCAAAAAAAGCCTCTTAATTGCACATGGAAGCCCAGTGATGGGGGCTCTTGATCTAGTCCAGCTTCAGGCCTTGCACTGTCAGCACCTCTCTTTGCTTTCTTGAGCAGAACACAGAAAGAAGGCCAGCTTTACTTTGGAGTACATTTAAGAGACTGCCAGCAAAAGCTAGAAATGATGAGCTTTTCTTGCCAGAAAAAAGGATATTTCTTCATGCATCTGATGCATTGCTTTATGCAGCTCTGATCTAGCAGGAGAGTGAATGATCTATGTAAACAAGTAAATAAAGAAAGCCCATTCTTCATTTTCTCCAGTGCTAAATCCTAAGTTTTTAAATAAAAATAAGTTTTGTGCCTCATTCCTAGCATAAGGAGTCCTGCAGTTCTCAGAGTTGTGTATCTTTTTATGTCTCCACTGTTATTTTAAAGCTGATAAGGCAGAATTCATACTATTTGAGGTGTTTTTTGTCTTTCAGGTCTGAGGTTGTACACCTATATTCAGCAATCATTACTGGAATGAAATCAGTTTGCAGAAGTAGTAGGCAATATTGTCAACTTTATAAAACTGCCTGCGTCTATGAAAATTCATCTCCTGAACAGATATTATGACCATGTAATTCCTGAGAACAGCCAGCGTAATGCGTGGAAGAGACAACAGTCTGATTTTTGGTTTATTGCAGAATTCTCTCAGAATCCTTTTTAATATTCTTCTTTAGTCTTTTTCTTTCTTGTCACAAGTAAGATCAGTGCTGTTTTGTTTCACATGAGGTATAACAAAGACATTTTCTGGCAAGTGAACACTGTGTCTTAGTGACAAGAGTCCAATTTGGTCTCAGTTTCTTTGGTAAATTCTCTAGGGAAATCTTGTAAGTTAACCAGGCAGAAGTGTGCTACAAGAAGTTGGTTTTCATGTCTGCAAAGGGACTTTATCAGCCAAGTTGGTAGGCTAGAGAAGAAACAAACACTTAGCATAAAACTACATGCTTAAAGCTGATCTCTCATTCTACTGCACTCTTCTACCACCTCCACAAAATCCTGTCTGAACATCACCTGAGGCAGCAAGCCCCAAGCTTCACTTTCTGTTCTTTTATAGAGATCGTGGCAGCCAACTCCCCTTCTTACCAGATACTGGCAAGGATAGCAAATAATGCTTGACATGGCTAAATAGTGTTATACCATCTAAGTTGGCCAATCCTCTTAAAATGATGGGCTTCTTGTAAAATTCCCTGATGCTGCAGAAATGGTGTCACCGTCGAGTTACTCAAAACTTTGTTCCCAATTCTGGGAATGGCAAAGGTAGAACATGGGATGTGCTATCAAGCTAAAGATCTACTGGTATGTTAGTCCTGAAAAATAACTTAAAACTGTCAGGTCTTGCCTCACCCCTGAAAGCTTTGGAAACAAGATGCTGGAATGATACTGTTGGGATGAAATCTTACAACTGATTAACCATTCAGGGCAAGACAACATAGTGCAGGTACTTCAGTCCATCCTAGATTACTACTTATTGAGACTGAAGCAACAAGGAGATGTAAATGGGGAGTGTGTAGGGACGGTGTGCAAAAAAGCTTTAAGGATTTCAGAGTATAGCTCCCCTTGAAGAGGCTTTCAATGATACTGAGTAATTTTTGACCATGCACACTAATGATCCATAAAAAAATAATAATAATACACAAAACTCCAATTATTTGGGTATGTAGAGGTCCTGCCATCCAATCATGTAATATGGAAATCCTGTTCTGACAGACTTTGGAGATGAATAAAGACAAACAGGCCTCTTTTTATTGTTTATTACTTTTTAGATACAGGAAATTAATACCTCAATAAAAGAGGGTACGTGTTCAGCGTTTCATCAGGAGAATAAATGTGTATTATAAGCCCCATTTCCAAGAGCTCGCTCGCTCCAGGAAGGGTCATTTACAAACAAGCGCTTCCACAGGTAGGAAAGCTGATGGGGGCCAGTTTTGCACAGCTTTATTTCTCTGGTGCCTGGATGCTCCCGTGCCTGATACGGAAGAGTTTAGATCTGGAGCTTCCTTCCGCAGCCGTGAGGCACTCACTGGCGCTTCTCTAAATGTAATTCTCTACATATAACGCGCCCAGCCCTTCCTGCAGCGAAAGCTGAGGTTTTGTGGTGGCATATATGTGGCTGCCTAGTCTCACGAGATACGGAATTGTAGATTACTGACTGAAAAATTAGGGAGGCGGATAGAATAAAACGCTAAAAAAAACACCTTCCTCAGCGCGGCGGACACCGCTCCTCCACACCACAGGGGGCGCTGTGACGCGACCCCCCCCCAATAGGCACGACACGCGGTCAGGAAGCCAGCCCCTCCTCCGCTGGGTCCCTTTAAGGAAGCGCTGCTGGCCGCTGATTGGCTGCGGGGCCGAGCGGGGCGGGGCGAGGCGAGAGTTGGGGGGGGGGGACAGCGGGGCGCGCTCCCGCGGCTGCTACTCCCTCTCTCCTTCCCCCCCCCGTGCACGGGAGCGCGCCTGGCGGGGCTGCACCTGCGGGCGGGGCGGGGCGGGGCGGGGCGGGGCGGGAGCCGCGAAATGGCGGCGGGGAGGCGGGCGAGCTGGTAGCCCCGGCCGGTAGCCACAGCCCATGTGCAGGACTGCGCCTCCCCCGGGCTGCCCCTGCTCCTTTCCCTCGGCGATCAGGCATGGCACGGGCAGGAGAGGAGGGGTGCGGCAGGAAGGTGGCTCTCATCACCGGCATCACCGGGCAGGTAGGGGTGGGCTATGGGGAGATGCAGCCAGCCTGCGGGATGAATTGAATGGGTTTGGGGTGTGCTGTGCTGCAACGGGGTGAGGGGGGTCCCTGCGGATCTTGCGGCTGTGTTTCCTAGGGAATCGTCAGCACAGGTGAGTGCTGAGCTCTATCAGAAGGCAGCTGCACCTGCTGGAGGCAGTGCAAGGGGCTGGGGGAGCCCCTCCAGCTGGAGCTGCCAGCGTGGTGCTGCAGGGCAGCCTGCCTCCTGGGCTGTGCCTTTGCTCCCCATCACCTGTCCCAGGCCATCCTTGCAGTCAGCATCGCCTTTCCTCCCAGGATGCATGATGCAAACAGCTCCTGAGGCTGCTTGTTTTGCCTTCCTGCAGGTCCGTCACAGTCCCTGCTTAATTTTTGGTTGGGTTAATCATAGGGTGCGCTCGGTGGCGTGAAAATGAAAGTGTTTGCCTTGCAGCATCTCCCGCTCTGTGAAAAAGGATGCGCCAGTGGTGGGCTTTAACCTTGGGAGACCTGCAGGAGTGTTCGTGCACAGCATCTGCAGCTCTCACTGCCATCAGGCAGCCTGGGTGTTTGGTTGGGCTGTGTGTCCACGCGGAGCCTGACACTACTGCATCTTTGCTGCCAAGTGGGTGCTAAATGAAAGTTGCCCTGGACTTCCTTAATCAACCTTACTTTGCAACATAGATGCTGCCCACTATGTGGAAAGACAGCTCTGCTTGCACACTATTTCTTAGAACATGCTGAGTGACTTTTGCTTGTAGGATGTATCTTTTGTGATGGGTAGAACCTGTTAAGTAGGTAACACGGGACAGCAAGCATTGTTACTTGTCTTAGAATCAGTGGATCAGCTTTCTTTCCCTTATGGTTTGTGTTTAACCAATGACACATTCATACGTGGAAGAACTTCTTCCCCTTCAGTGGTGACTTTTCCTGTAATGCTTGAAGATCCATCAGTGGGGTACTGGCGTGAATTGTTTGGCCTGTGGATAAGTGCATGTGAAAACAAGCGTGTTAATCCTTTACTCTGCAATGATGTTAGTCAATGCTTATGTCTTTTGTAATGGACCTGACCTTTGAGGGAATAAATCAAGTGACAGTACAGTGTCATAGCAGTTTTTGTCTCTTATCAAAAAGAACCTGGGCTGTGCTTTGAATTTTCATCAGCTGTTTTTGTTTTAGCTTGTTATACCTGTTCTCACGTGTTCTTGAAACATATCTTAGAGTCACTTTTTCTGATAGGTTAGTGACTGTCTGCCAAGAGCAGGTTAAGAAATCCTACCAAATGGCTGTTTGACAAGGAGATACGACTGAGTCTGAGAAGGAAAAAAAAAGGTAACCTGTATACACTAACATTTTTACTTGATGATTGTTTTTAGCAAGAGCACAGACAGAGCTTTCCAAACGACTACTTAAATGAATAGTCTTCTGGTTCATTGACAGAAGTTATGTTTCTCTTATTAAAAAGTAAGAGGCCTCTAGCCATAGTGGTATTATTTTTTAGCGTAGTGTTCTGTGTGCTACCTTTCCTTATTTTCAGTGCAGCTCTTCCGTCTTAGTTTAACCTTTGTCAGGCATATTTTTTCAATGTTGAAACATGCAGGGATTCAAAGCTAGTAAAGGCCTGGAATACCTAAAAGTTAGCCAAAGAAGTTGGGTGCCTTAGTGATGAGACTGCCAGCTCTTGGCCTAGGATGAAAGCTTTATGCTGAGAGCAACCTCTTTCTGGGTCCTATAGTTTCTCATTATTTTTTTTCTCATTATTTATTTTCCTTGCCCTTTTTCTTACCTGTCATTATTTACGCTTAATGACTTTTTTGTTTGGAGAGGCCTTATCCGGAAACAGGAGATTTGGATTCTGTTTCTTCCTTATCTGAGAATGGGCAAAGTTGTGTGCCCTACCTTCCAGGAGAATGTTTTTAAGCTTAATTATCATGCGTAAAATGCACAGACACATGAAAGTGGAAACGAGCTCAGGCTTTGTCTTTTCTAGACTGTCACTTTAATTACTGGGCTAAACGGAGTTGGTCTCTCTCTGCATTCTTGCTTGGAATTGGAACTCTTTCAGGGTGCAGAAATAAAGGCCTGGATCCCTTCAGGCTGAGGAAAGCACAGAACAGCATTGGATAGTAAACTAATCTTATTCAAACTAGGGCCCTTCTGCTGCAGGATTCTTTTTCTTTTGAAAAGTGAGTTGGCACAGTTGTGTTATGTAAGGAGCCCGGCTTTTGTTTGCGTGTGGCCAGTGTGCTCCGAGACTGTTTGCTGAACCAAGGCCCCATGGAGCCTGGTTCCTGGAACAAGGGTAGGTGGGAGATAATACTGAGCCAAGCGGACCGTGACAGTTCTAGGCGAATGTAGAGTTTCTCTTTTGTGTTAAGAGGTCGAATGAAGTGCTGCTTGAACTGCAGTGGCACCTCCTGAGTCAAGACGATGCCACAGTGGGCATACTTTGAGATCAAATGCCTCATTACGTTTCTGAGAACTTCCAAGTAGTTGTGAATATCTTAATTATCCTTCTCTTCACCTGAAAAAAGAGGAGATTTTCATCCTGTTATGATGAAGAAGGAACTGAGTCCAGGTATGACTGTATTTTCACGATACAGGAATTGTCCTGTGGTGCAGCCTTTAATTGAAGTATGCCATGGAGACATGGCATAGCTGCATCTTATGAGTTACTCCCTTCTAATGGGACTCACAAGGCTTTGGAGGATGCCAGAAGAAGGGTGGGCTATCTGCACATTTTCCTCTGTATAGTCAATGGAAGCTTATGTCATATGCTTCCTTACCTGCACCAGTCCATTAAAAATGGTTCATGCAGCTTACTTCCTTCATCTTGTACCTAAAGGAAGTACAGGCTCTGCAGGGTTCAATGCCTAACTGATAGGAAGGAGGTTGTGACTTTGCTCCAGATAGCAAAAGGAGTTTGTCATGTGCCTGCTTACCTGCGCCAGTTGGTTAAAAACTCATCATGAGGATAACAGGATGAAGGAAGTACCTAAAAGAAGTACTGGTGCTGCAGGGTTCAATGTGTAACTGATAGGAAGGAGGCTGTGACCTCTAGCCAGATAGCAACAGGAGGTTGCAACATGGGTGGTAAAGCCATAAGTGAAAACCAATGCCATAGCTGGCACCAGAATTCCTGATCATGCAAGAGCTGGACCATAGTCTCTGTGAAATTATAGTATATAAATGAATCTCTTTAAATCCTGCATTTACCAGTGGGGTTGGGGTGAAATCGGTGTCATTCTACCACTTGCATTACTGATAAAAGACTCTAGTGTGTAACCAGTGGTGTCATATACTCCCATTGCAGCATTGAGATTTCCCTTATCTCCCTTCTCAGACCACAGCAGTGGGGCAAACTGCAGTTTGCTGTTTTGCTAGTGACCTCTGGTCTGAGTAACTGCTGTATTTGGATGGATAAAGTGCTTCTGAAGTTACATGTAGATATTGGTCTGCTGGTAGGTTACTTCTGAGTGATGTTTAGCACTTTTCATTTAAGGAAAAAAATAATTTTGTTGAAACGCATGCCTCTTGTGTGTATTAAAATGTTTTTTTTAACAACCTGTTATTTTTTTTAGATTTAGATTTTTTTTTGAAGAGCTATTATGAAGAACCACTATATGAAAATGAGATTTTTGTGAATCAAATAGCAGCTTAACTAACATTTACTACTGAATATCCAGATCTTTACCTCCTGTCTTGTTTCTTGTTTGGGGAAGCTGCTGAAGCAGTGCTTTCTGACAGCTTTGTTTTCTAGGCACTATGACTAAATATCTGTTGCAGTTGCATTTAAATAACTCTGGGAAGTCTGACTGCACAGCAATCAGTCTGATTGTCTTTCTGTATACTGATGCTTGTAAGAATACTTAGATGTTTAATTTCTTGGAGAAATACCAAAAAATATTCTGGCCGAATCCAACAACTGGGTTATATTGATGTTTCTTTTTTTCCCCACTTCTGTCACTGGATTGTGAGCTGTGAATAGTGTCTATCTTGTATCTGGTGCTATCCTGCTTTACCTGGAGAGATGGTAAGATAAGAGTTTGTAGACCAATAGGATGATCATCTAACTCATAAAGCTAAGTTATGAATCACAGAATCATTTAGGCTGGAAGAGACCTCCAAGATCACCTCGTCCAGCCTCTGACCTAACACAGTCCTCCACTACCATATCACTAAGCTCTAAATCCAAAGGTCTTTTAAAGACCTCCAGGGATGGTGACTCAACCACTTCCCTGGGCAGCCCTTTCCAATGCCTAACAACCCTCTCAGTAAAGAAGTTCTTAATACCCAACCTAAACCTCCCCTGGTGCAACTTAAGCCCATTCCCCCTTATCCTGTCACCAGGCATGTGGGAGAATAGGCCAACCCCCACCTCACTACAGCCTCCTTTGAGGTATCTGTAGAGAGCGATAAGGTCGCTGCTGAGCCTCTTCTTCTCCAGGCTGAACAAGCCCAGCTCCCTCAGCTGCTCCTCATAAGCCTTGTTCTCCAGACCCCTCACCAGCTTCGTTGCCCTTCTCTGGACTTGCTCAAGCACCTCCATGTCCTTCCTGTAGTGAGGAGCCCAAAACTGAACACAGTACTCGAGGTGTGGCCTCACCAGAGCCGAGTACAGGGGGACGATCACTTCCCTAGCCCTGCTGGCCACACTGCTTCTGATCCAAGCCAGGATGCCTCTTGGCCACCTGAGCACGCTGCTGGCCCATATTCAGCTGACTATCAACCAATACTCCCATGTCTTTCTATGCCAGGCAGCTTCCTAACCACTCATCTCCCAGCCTGTAGCTCTGCTTGGGGTTGTTGTGCCCCAGGTGCAGGACCCGGCACTTGGCCTTGTTGAACTTCATGCAGTTGGCCTCAGCCCATCGGTGCAGCCTATCCAGATCCTCCTGCAGAGCCTTCCTGCCCTTGAGCAGGTTGATACACGCACCTAAGCTGGTGTCATCTGCAAACTTACTGTGGGTGCACTCAATGCCGTCATCCAGATCATTG